CCTTTTCCTTGGGGACTCTATCTAAAGGTTTGTCAATTTTGTTTATCTTTTCAGAGAACCAGCTCTTGGTTTCATTAATTTTTTCTATTGTATTTTTAGTCTCCATTTCGTTTATTTCTGCTCTGATTTTTATTATTTCTTTCCTTCTACTTATTTTGGGCTTTGTTCTTCTTTTTCCAGTTCCTTTAGGTGCACTGTTAGATTATTTGGGATTTTTCTTGTTTGTTGAGATAGCCCTGAATTGCTATAAACTTCCCTCTTAGAACCACTTTTGCTGTATCCCATAGATTTTGGCATGTCATATTTTCATTTTCATTTGTCTCCAGGTATTTTTTGATTTATTCTTTGATTTCTTCATTGACCCAATTGTTGTTCAGTACCATTTTGTTTGATCTCCACATTTTTGTGGCTTTTCCAGTTTTCTTCCTGTAGTTGATTTCTAGTTTCATACTTTTGTGGTCAGAAAAGATTCATGGTATTATTTCAATCTTCTTAAATTTATTGAGATTTGTTTTGTGGCCTAATATGTGATCAATCCTGGAGAATGTTCCATGTGCATTAAAAAAGAATGTGTATTGTTTTTGGATTTAATGTTCTATATATATCTACCAAGTCCATCTGGTCTAGTATGTCATTTAAACCCAATGTTTCCTTATTGATCTTCTGTTGGATATCTATCCATTAGTGTAAATGGAGTGTTAAAGTCCCCTACTATTATTGTGTTACTGTCTATTTCTCCTTTTATGTCTGTTAATAATTGTTTTATGTATTAAGTTCTCCTATGTTGGGTGCATAGATATTTACAAGTGTTATATCCTCCTGTTGGAATCTTCCCTTTATCATTATGTAGTGCTCGTGTCTGTTGTTACAGTTTTTGTTTCAAAGTCTATTTTGTCTCATATAAGTATTACTACCCCAGCTTTATTTTCTTTGCAATTTGTATGGAGTATCTTTTTCCATCCTTTCACTTTCAGTTTGTGAGTGTCTTTAGGTCTGAAGTGTGTCCTTGTATACAGCATATATATGGGTCTTGTTTTTTTTTATCCAATCAGCCAGCCTATGCTTTTTGATTGGAACATTTAGTCCATTGATGTTTAAAGTAGCTGTTGATAAATATGTACTTATTGCCGTTTTCTTACTTTTTTCCTGGGTGTTTTAGTAGTTCTTCTCTGTTCCTTTCTTTTTCTCTTGCTCTCTTCCCTTCTGGCTTATGGCTTTCTTCAGTGTTATGTTTGGGTTCCTTTCTCTTAATTATTTCTGTATTTATTATAGGCTTCTCATTTTTGATTACCATGAGGTTCATGTATAATAATCTGCGTATATAGCAATCTAGATTGAGTTGAAGCTGTCTTTAGTTTGACCTCTTTCTAAAAGCTCTGCTCTTTTACTCCCCTCCTCCAACATTTTATGTTTTTGATACCATATCTAACCTTTTATTTTTTGTGTGTGTATCCATTACCCTCTTTTCATTAAAATAGGTGATTTTCATACTTTTGTCTTTTGACCTTTATGTTGTCTTCATAGGTGGTTGATCTGCTACCTTTACTGTATTTTTACTTTTAACAGTGATTTTATTGCCTTTTTATTGGATAATTTTTTTTAATTCCTATTTGTGGTTTTCTCTTTCCCACTTAAGTCCCTTTGGCATTTCTTATAAGGCTGATTTCTTGGTTATAAACTCCTTTAGTTTTTGCTTGTCTGGGAAACTCTTTATCTCTCCTTCCCTTCTGAGTGATAACCTTTCCAGGTAGAGTATTCTTGGCTGTAGGTTTTGTCCTTTTAACTCTTTAAGTATATCATGCCACTCCCTTCTAGCAAGTAGGGTTTTTGCCAGAAGTCCACTGATAGCCTTATAAGGTTTCTTTTGTATGTCACTTGTTACCCTACTCTCCTGGATTTTAGGATTCTCTCTTTATCTTTAATTTTGGACGTTTTAATTATAATGTGTCTTGGTGTAGGCCTCTTTAGGTTTATCTCTGTGCTTCCTGTACCTGGGTGTCTGTTTCCTTCCTTAGGTTAGGAAAGTTTTCAGCTGTTATTTCTTCAAATAGATTCTCTGCCTCTTTGTCTCCCTCTTCTCCTTCTGCGACACCTATAATACAAATGTTAGTGCACTTGATGTTGTCCCAGATTTCCCTTGGACTGTTCTTGTTCTTTTTAATCTTTTTTCTTTTATCTGTTCAGCTTGGGTGATTTCCTCTAGTCTTTCATCCAGCTTGTTGATCTGTTCTTCTGTATCATTTACTCTGCTATTGAGTCCCTCTAGTGAGTTTTTCATTTCCAGTATTGTATTCTTCATTTCTGACTGGTTCTTTTATATGTTCCAATTCTTTGTTGACATACTCACTTTGTCATCCATTCTTCTCCCAAGATCAGTGAGCATCCTTATGACTTTTTGTTTGGACTCTTTGTCAGGTAGATTGCTTATTTCTGTTTCATTTAGTTCTTTTTCTAGGGTTTTGTCCTGTTCCCTTGCATGGAATGTATTCCTTTGCCTCTTCATTTTGTCTCTTTCTCTGTGCTTATATCTATGTAGTAGGTGAGTCAGCTGTGTCTCCTTATCTTGGAGAAGTGGCCTTATGTAAGAGATGCCTTGCCTTTTGAGGCCCAGCTGTGTGTTTCCCTCCTGTCACCCTTCCAACTGTTCTAGGAGTGTCCCCTGTGTGGGCTCCATGTGTCCTTCTCTTGTGGCAGGGCTGCTATTGCTGCAGGTGGCTAGGGAGGCTAGGCAGGCTAGGCTGTCCCCCGGCCCACTGGTTGTAATGCTCAGCTGTGTGTGGCTGCTATGGTCTTTTCAGTCACTTTATCAGGTGTGGGGAGCCCCAGCACAGTTGGGTGCAAGGTCTAATAGTACGTTCCTGTTGCAGTTTTTCTGTTAAGTGAGTAGGCCCTCAGCATGTCTGGTTGCTAGCTTCAGGGTCTTACAATTGCTGTAGGCCTCTGGCCTGCAAGGCTAATGTCAGCTCCCTCAGTATTGCAGGTGAGTGGGGCCGGCCCCAGGCATGGGAGGACCCAATTGTTTCAGGCTTTGGAATGTGGGCCCAATTCCCTCTGTGGCTGTTTGAGAAACACAGGTCTTCTGCTGCTGATAAGCCCCATGGCCTACAGGTCCACACACACCTTTGACACAGTCTTGGCCTGTGTACGCTTCCCAACCCCTTGGAGTGGACCCAGTTGCCCCATACCCTCCACCCTGCCCCACAGGGGCAGACCCACTCACCTGCCTGCAGAGGATCCAGACACCCAGTCTATGGAGATCAAAGAGTTGCCTGAGGGCTTGCTGTTTTGTGGGGTCTGTCCCTAGGGCAGGATGCCTGCCCTGGCTGAGCTGGATTAAATCTGTGCACTAGTGGGTGTGGCAGACCCTGGGCTAACAGGCCAGGGGAAGAACTCCAATGGCATCTGCCAGCATCTGTGTTAGCACACCTGTACTAGGTCACAAAATGGCAGCTGCCAATGTTTCAGTCCCTTGACACTTCTCACATCTCACCAAGAGGCACCCAGAGCCTATTCAGTGAATCTCTTTTCACCAAAGGACCGTGCACCTTTCTTTCTGGTGATTTTAGGTTGTTTTCCAAAATGGGTAAATTTGTGTATAGGCCCTTTAGAGCTGACTTTATTCTTATGTCCAATAGCTTTTCTTGGGCTATTCCCCATTGTTGTTAACAGCCAGCAAAGCCAGATATTATGAGACTTGTCTCAGTTGTGCTGAGCCTGAAGGATGCTTATGCTGTAACGCATCCCTGTTCAGGTCCCCTGCTCCTCGAGGGAAGGCTGCATACCTTAGGGTTGCTCCTGCCTTGCCGTAAAGGTCCACAGCTCATGAAGGTGGCTTTTTTCTCTCCAGACAGGAATTTCTGCCTCTTCCGCCTCAGTTAGGACTGTCCTTTGTTGTGGGCATTCTTTTTATATCTAGTTTTCAATTGTGTCTCAGTGGCAGTTGTTCCTAGAAAAGTTGTAAGTTGGTTGTGTTCATGGGAGGAGAGGAGTTCACAGTCTACCTATCCTGCCATCTTGACACCAACTACCTGTTAAATTTTTGATAAGTTGCTGTCCTATTGGAGCATTATTTTTTGTTAAGGTACATCTTATATTCAGAGAAAAATTTAGTGTTTATTTCTTTATGATCCCAAAGGATCCTTTACCTTCTCAAAAGTTCAGAAATAGCAGAAGTAAAACCAGTGAATCACCAAAATAGTAATTAGTAAAACCTTATTGTACACACACCAAAAGATCACGAAGCAGGAGCACTCAAACCAAGCATGGAAGGAGGTCGGAGGATATTGTTATAAAGCAGCTTATCTAGTGAGGAGGCAGAGACTATTCGTTCTTCCCAGTGATTGATTATACTATTAGAATTTTCTTAAACAATGTGGAATTGGTTAGTGTTTATCTCATCAATTTGGGGGAACAGTTTAAGTTTCGCTTCTGATTTCTGAGGCATAAACAAGAAGTGACCCAGGTCAAGTTAGTCTTGCAAAACAAGCTGAATGAAGCTTTGCTGTGTGACTAAACTGGTTTTGTCTGCTCAGGGAATTTCAGTGTCGCTGTTTGTGTTTGATTTAACAACCTCAAAGGATACACCCCGTCTATTAGTACTTTACTTCTGAATTTATTTTTATAAAGGAGTGACAAACCCACATTAATTAACTTTACAAAGACTCAAAAGGACAATAATAGTTATAATAGTTGCTACCTTTTATTTAATGCTTACTGTATGTCAGGTACTTTTATAAGTGTTGGACATGTATCATCTCATTTAATCATTTCTTGTGTGTGAAGTAGTTGCTATTATTAATTTCCATTTTATCTATGAGTAAACTGAAGCCCAGAGAGGCATCTACCTAGAAAGTGGAAGAGCTGGATTCAAACAGGCAAACTGATTGTTAAAGCCTGTACTCTTAATCCCCACGTGTCAGTGGTTATTTAATACTTCAGTTTGTTAAAAACAAATATTCTAAATATATGTATGAGAGTTCACTAGTTGTTTTCACATACAGTGTGTCCAAGGTGAAGAAGTCATCATGGGTGACCTCACAACTCTGGATAGGAAGGCCCTTCTCCAGCAGGGTTATGCAGACAACAGGTACAGTGCACAACGGAGCACAAGAAAATCTGATGCTGTAAGTTGTTAGTGATTTTACTTATTTGATAAGCCATTGAGATAATTTTCTCTCCAAGATTTTACAGACCAACAAATGAATTAATAATTGCAATAATTGAATTTGGACTAAGGTGACTATCCATTAATGTGCAAACTGAGTCCTCACTTTTACAACCCATTGGTGTTTGATGTATTTACTGTGGAAAATTGTCTTGAATCTTTAGGAGTTGTTAAAAATGTAGTTTACATTGTTGAAAATGTTAATTGGCTGCTGTTTATATCAGTGGAGTTATTTGGCATCGTCACTCTCCACCCCAAAGAAGTAGGCTGGTTATTTTTTTTGAAAGTCATAAGCTACTAAAACTAGAGAAATTCAGGCCACTTAAGGAAAAGGGTAGGCATAAAGTAATTTTTCTTTAGGAAAAGGGAAGCAAAGATCTAGACTCTCAGTATTAACTTTAAATTGTATATTTTACAAAATCAGATTATTTGATGACTATTGCTTAGGCTACTTCTGGTACAAATAGGTAATTATAATATAATTATAATTTCTGTGATGTCCTGGGATAGGCAGACCAAGCTGCTTGAAGTTGCAGTCCACTGGCCACCCAGACACCCCAAAGTGAGTCATATCTTAGACACACCTGTAATGGATTGATGGAATAGCAGTGTGTGGTGGCTCAAAAGTTGGGAAAACTCTGGTTTATATGGCCTAAATAATAATAAAGCAGTCTGGATTTAGCTAGTTACATTATTGCTATTACTGAATAGAAATTCAGTATATGTTTTATTTGGATAAGGATCATCCAGCATCAATACATTCTGAATTGATAGCAGTCTGTAATTAATCTCTGGGTCAGGTGGACTGATTTTCTGTGGATGTCTCAAGTTGCTATAGTTCTTTTACTAAAACCACATACACATTATTTTCTATGCCTATTATTATATAGATATTTATGCTTAATTGAATAAGGACTATTACCAGGATTATTCTAAAAGTAAAAAAAGCTACTTTATAAAGCAAAATTGTGTCTTATTTAAGGCCCATAGGGTATTGTTCTTGGTACAATCCAAAGCCACCTGGGTGTTAGTGGGTTTCTTTTCCTCACAATTACTTATTGTGTCAGTGTGTCTAAACTCACTGTCAAGTGCATGTTACTTTATTGTGGGAGCACTCATCTGTTTTTTTCAAGGAAATGGTTATGTGAGTAAACTTTGCATCTGAAATTAGTACCCATTTATTTTTTTAATATAAGTGGAAGCTTTTTAGTTTAATTTTTGGCTGCTTAAGTGAACAGCAGAACCAGTGAAACTGTGGTTTTTATATCCATCTTTTCTAGTTTGCTTGTAATTTTTCAGTATTATCAGATCCTTCACGTCAGTGTGACTTCTGCTTCTATTCTGCTTGTGTTTACACAGACCTCTAAGTCAGTGAGCCGGAGGGTGGTTCTAACCCTCCCTCCAGACTGTAAGCCACCATAAATACCACCCTCAAGGTGGGCTCTCTGCCTGGGCTCGGGGTCTTCATTCATCTTACCTCTCTTCCTTGCTTCTGGGGTTTACATTGGTGTTCTGGCTGATGTGGATATTTTCTCTTTAGAATTTCGTGTATTAATCAGTGTCCACTTTCTGAATCACCCTTAGGTCTCAAATATACTTACTTGACCTGCAAGTTACACAATTTTTCTAACTTTTTAATTGCTGTTTTAATTTACTACCAACCAACAATCCTTATAAAGTGTCACTAGCTTAGAGAACACAAGATGCAGTTTAATATAGTTATGTATTAAATATGAACTTCATATGGGCATATTTGAATATGTAGCTATACATCTTAAGTTTCTACCAAACAATAAAACTAAATTCAATTATAGGTTAACATTTAAATCATTGTGCCCAACGTGTCCAGGTTTCTTAGGAGTTTCTACCTTTTCTTTCTATTGTTTTAGTCATTCTTATTTGAATTTCGTGTCAGTTTCAAATACAGCATTCTTCCTAAGGCTACAAAGCCTTTATCTTGAGCAATATCATCTTACTTGATTTCATTCATTAGAGTGATCAACGGGGATGACAGTGATTTACATTCTAAAACTAGAACAGCTTCATTTTGATTTCTTAATTTTTTAAACGTTTTATTATCCTTCAAAAGTAACATTTTAGTGATTATAGTTGGATGATAACCTAATTGGAATTGAATGATTACAAATCTTCCAATTGATATGACCTAAAATGTAGTAAAGATACTTTTGGATGAGTTGGAAAAGCAAAAAATAGTATGAAGACAGTTTAATCAAACCAGTAATTGAGAAAAGTTGATCAAGTATTGTTAATGAATTATGTACACAGAAAAGATTATTATCCTTTTAATGGTGGGAGGCCTTTTTGTTTGTTTTTTTTAGGTTTGTTCTGTATGTTTGAATGATTTGGATTCAGTTTCAGCATCACCTAATATGCATGGTTTTAGACCGAGTTATCTGTGTCAGCAGTGGGATTCTTTCTGGAGCAGGCTAAGATGACTTTCGCAGGGCATCTCTCGAGGGGAGGGAGGTCATAGTCTCCTCCTCCTTTATTCTGGTTCTGTAAAATGCAAATGTAGTTTGTGGAAATCTCTGAAGATTTCACCTAAATTTAAGTGCATTACGTTTTAGGAAATAAATAGTACTTTTAGATTAAATAATTGGAATTTGAACTTATTAATCATGTGTATAGTAATCTATATTTAAGAAGCAAGTATGAAATGTTTAATTTATATTTTAGGGCTCTTGTGTTAACTATTGTATTGTTCTGCTTTGGGGACAATGACATCTTCTATATTTTCTCTTCTTAGGAAATTGTGGCTGCAGAGAAGAAGAAACAGACTGTTGCAGAGCAAGTGATGATAGACCACTTATCCAGGTGAGACTGGTAACTGGGAATGCAAATCCATTCAGAAAGTTTTCATTAAATTTCTTTTTTATACATTACACACATATCCTTGGTCAATCAACAAGTGGCTAACTCAGAGGGTCCCAAACTTGCTGTGTTCACTGAACGTGTAGTGTTTTAGTAATTTTTTCATGGCACTCCTAGGCCAATAGAAATACCTAGTAGTTATATTTATTAAATATTTTTGTGTAAACAACTCAATAAGTATTTACTTCCTAACAACTTAATGACAATTTGAAAAAATACACATAAATTGAAAGAAAAATATTTTACTTTTATGTTATTTTGTGTGGTATCCTACAAATATTGGGTATCACTGTTTCCCTCAAAAATTAAAAATATCCTGCAGTGTCCTTGTGAGTTCCCTGTGGCCCCCCCAGAGTGACTCGGTAGGTGGTTTGGGAACTGTGGGACTAATTGTCAAGAATTTTAAAAGCTAATCTAAAGTTTCATAGTGCTTGGAAAGCTATATAAAGCTTTAATACCTGCTGTGCTAAATTGCATGACAACATGTAAATATTGTAGGGTTTCAGAAGAGGCTGGAATGGTCTAGGAGGTCTTCCAGGAAGAAGTGAGACTAAATTTAGCTTTAAAAAATTACTGTTTAGTTAGGTGGCAGTTAGAAAAAAAGCTATTCTACATGCATGTTTTTCAGTAAATTCTTTGAAATAATTATACTTAAAGTCTTCAATGTGTCTCCTTCCAGTATCTCATGAACTCACTGCGTTTATGTTTCCACCCCCCACCCCCCTAGGCATCTTTTCCTAAGAAAACTAGTGACATCCATTTTACCAGACTATGGTGATTTCTCAGCCCTCATTTACTTGACCCATCAGCATCTGTCTCAGTTGAAGACTTTCTTCCTTTGAAACACTTTCCTCTTTCCCGCTTGGCTCTCTGTACACCACACTTGGCTGGTTTTCCTTCTGCCTTCTGCTCCTTTCAGTCTCTTCTCCTGCTTCCTCATCTCCTCACCAGTCTTTACACATGAGTGTACATGAGGGCTTGTTCTCAGACTTGTACATTTACTTCCTAGGTGATCTCATCCAGCACCATACCTTTAAAATCCGGCTATATGCTCATGCTTTCCTGATCGAAGATTCCAGCATCACATTTTCTAGTCTGAGTTCCTGAAAGTTGTTTCCATTCCCTCTCCCCAGAACCAAATCCTCTTTAGTTTTCCTCTATGGCAACCCCATTCTTCAAGTTATTTAGACCTAAAATCTTGGTGATGCCTTTGATCCCGCTCTTTCTCTCAAATCCTGTATCTAGTTTGTCAGGAAACACTCTTGCCATCAAAATAAATTTGCTCCCTCTGCTACCACCGTCTCTGTTCAGACTGTCATGTTCTGTCTCCTGGATTATTTCAGTCACTTTCTAACTGGACTTATTGTGTCTGCATTTGCCCCTCATTGGTCTATTCTCAACCCAGCAGCCAGAGTGAGTCTATTAAAAGGCAGGCAAGGGGCCAGCCCCATGGCTGAGTGGTTAAGTTTGTGTGCTCTGCTTCGGCAGCCTGGGGTTCATTGGTTCAGATCCTGGGCGTGGACCTACACACCACTCATAAGCCATTCTGTAGTGGCATCCCACATAGAGGAGCTAGAATGACTTACAGTGAAGATATACAACTGTGCACTGGGGCTTTGGGGAGAAAAAAAACAAAAAAGCAAGTAAGATCAAACCCTCCAGTAATTCCCCATTTCAATCAGAGTAAAACCTAAAAGACTTTGGTATTGGTTATGTTTCACCACAAAACTTAGTAGCTTAAAACAACAATCATTAATTATAGCTCATATATCTTCAGATCACCCGTCCAGGCTAGGCTTGGCTAAGTGGATATACTTTCTACTTACTTTGGCCAGTTATATATGATCAAAAACAATGGTCTTAGTTCTGAGCTTAGGCCTTAAGAAACTTCGTGTGTTTCAATTTGCCGTTTTGTGCTTCTGCCATCTTTGAAACGGAACACAGGTTGGCCAACACACTGGCCTCAAGAAGATGCCTCTACAAATGCACCTGAGCCATTTAGCCAAGATTATCCTAGATGAGCAGATCCCCAGCCAACCCACACTTACATGAGTTAGTTCAACTGAGATCAGCAGAGCCATCCAGCTGTATGTAATTGGCCAAAGCAAGTCAAATGGCTAAGCTCAAAGCCAAAGGGTGAGAAGGTACACTACAACTATGATGATGTTGTGGCGAGGATGTGGATCAGGAGTGCTGAAAAACTGGAGTCAATAATACAGTCCACCCAAGCCCTACATGATCCATGCACCATTAGACCTTGGACCCCTTTTCCTATTTCTCTCTGTCTTGTCTACTCTGCTCCCTCATTTGGCTTCTCCCTGTTCTGAAACATACTAGGTTCACTCCTGTCTGAGGTACTTTGCATTTATTTTTTCCTCTGCTTGGGATGCTTTTCCCCCAGAAATCCGTATGGCTGCTTGCTTACTTTGCTTCATGTCTTTATTCAGAAGTTACCAGCACAGTGTCTGTTTGTTTGAAGAACAGTAAGAGAGAGAAAGACATGAAGCTCTGAGTTCTCTCAAAAATTTCAGTTTATTTTTATTTAACACTTACGGAAAAAGAGACAGGAATATTCACGTTTTTATGGCTAGTATTTTGTACTTATTAAATTTATTCATTCACTACCTGACAAATATATAATTCTGACAGTAGCGTAAATTTGCATTTGTGTATGAGCTTTTCCAGCTGTTTATAAATGAGTGCCAGAGCGGTGCATTGTGGCCTTCGTCAGACTTTGCATTTTCCTGTGTAGGGCTGTGATCAGTGATCCGGAGCAAAATGTAACCATTGAGAAAGAGGAAAGTGCTTCCGTCCTTCCAGATGCCAGGAGAGCCCCTCTTCGATTTAGGAGAAGAGCGTTGCATGAAACAAAGTAAGAAGGTTTTACTTATGTAAAATGAGGGTGTAGTGTGTTATAAATGTATTTTGTAAAATGTACTTTTGTGTGTAACTGAAAGTTTTTCTGCTTCTTTTTGCTTTTTTTCTATATAAAGGGAAGTGGAATTTTTGGAGTTCAGATCCCAGTTCTGCCACTTTAAGATATTGGGGTAAACTTTGCCCTCTAGATTTTCTATTTGTCATTTAGGAATAATAGCCACAGTTAGGTGATAATATATGTGAAAACATATAGTAACTGAGACATTTGTATGTGCACTTTTATGTTGGCAGAATCTCATTGATATAATATGTTCAAAATTAGTATTGTTTAAAATTTATTGTTATTTTTTGCATTTTACTTTGTAGCTTATAAAGTCTTTGGGTCTGTATGGACTTTGACAGTCCTCTGGTGCAGTCCACTTAAATTTCCCAACGCCTTCGCTGACAGTTGACATCTAGCCTCAGCTTTAATAGATAGAGGAAACCCGCCAGTCCCTGTGGCAGATTTTATGTTTTCAGATAGCTGTAATCGTTAGATGGTGCTTTCTTATAACGTCTGTCTTTTTGTCTCATTCTTATTTTCTGAAAGCCTTTGTTTCTATGCCTTTAAATATTTGAACTTATCACATATTAATTTCTTATTGCTGCTGTAACAAATTACCACAAACAATGCAAATTTTAAAACAACACCAATTTATTGTCTTACAGTTCTGGAGGCCAGAAGCCTAAAATGAAGGTGCTGACAGGGCTGCACTCCTTCTGGAAGCTTCAGGGGAGAATCAGTTTCCTTGCTGTTCTCAGCTTCTAGAAGCTGCCTTTGTTCCCTGGCTCATGGCCCCCTCCTCCATCTTCAGCGCCAGCAAGGGCTCATGGCACATCATTCTGACACTCCTCTTCTGTTGTCACATATCCCTCTGCTTTCCTCTTATAAAGACACTGATTGCATTGAACCTATGTGGATAATCTTGGGTAATCTTCTCATCTCAAGATCCTTAAGTTAATCACATATGCAAAATCTCTTTTATCATAGCATGTAAATTAACGTATTTCCATGTTCTGAGGATTAGGAGATGAACATCTTTGGGGGGCCATCATTCAGCTACCATATATCTAAACTTCTCTTTTTTGAAGTCAGCTTTTATTGAAATAAAATATGCATTCACAAAGTGTACACACTTTAAGTGTACAGCATAGGAATGTTCACGAACTGAACAATACTCATGTACCAAGTTCCTAGATTGAGAAATAGGACCTTACCAGTACCCCAGGAGCCCACCTGTGCTGCTTCCAGTTACTGCCCACTTCCTCTGCCCTACCGGGTTAACCTCTCTATCCTACTCTCCTGGATTATAGCAGCCTGGTTATAAATCTATATGAAATCACAAAAGTTGGATTCTGTATCTGGCCTTTGTCACTCAACATAATATGTGTGAATTTTACCCATATTGTTATTTGTAGTTGTCCTTGATTCTCATTGTGTACAGTATTTCATTGTATGAATGTGCCACAATTTGTTTAGTCTGAGATGATGGACTCCATGGTAGATATTTGGCTATTTATGGATAGTGTTCCCATGAACTTCTGTGCATGCATTTTGGTGAACATGTTTGCTCATTTCTGCTCAGCACATGCTTAGAAGTGGGATTGCTGGACCATTTTGTATGCATATGTTCAGCTTTAAAAAACACTGCCAAATAGGGGCCAGCCCATTGGCACAGTAGTTCAGTTCACACATTCTGCTTTGGTGACCCAGGGTTCGCCGGTTTGGATCCTGGGTGCGGACATGGCACTGCTCATCAAGCCATGCTGTGGTAGGCGTCCCATATATAAAGTAGAGGAAGATGAGCACGGATTTTAGCTCAGGGCCAGTCTTCCTCAGCAAAAAGAGGAGGATTGGTGGCAGATCTTAGCTCAGGGCTGATCTTCCTCAAAAAAAAAAAAAAATACTGCCAAACAATTTTCCAGAGTGGTTGCTGCAGTTTACACTCACACCAGCAGGGGCAGTTAAGAGTGTGCTGGTAGCACCCTGTCTTTGCCAATGCTTGGTATGGTCTAAATTTTTCATTTCGGTTCTTCTTATGGGTATGTGTTGGTAATTTTAATTTACATTTCACTGGAGACTAATGAAGTTGAGTACTTTTGTATATGTATGTTGGTCATCTAGATATCTTTTTATATGAAATTTCCCTTCAAATATGTTGGCTTATCTATTTCCTATTGATTTTTGGAACTTATTTATATATTCTAGTTACAAGTTCTTTTTCAGTTATATTTGTTGGACATATCTTTTCCTACTCTGTGGTCACCTTTTCATTCCTTTGATCATGTCTTTTGATGAATAGGAGTCCCTAATTTTAATGTAGACCAGTGTACCAATCTTTCTGTTTATTTCTAGTGTCCTTTGTACCTTCTTTAAGAAATCTTTGCCTACCACAAACTCACTGGCCCTTTGACTTGTAATGCCACATAGTGGTATATCCAGTTGTTATAAATGCATGGTTGGTTCCCAGGCTTTTTCTTCAGTCTCCTCTACCTGTCTTGTATCCCTGTACCAGTATCATCCTGTCTTCATTAGTCTTGCTTCATATTGGAGTAAATGCCTGCTACTTGTTTACCTTCCATAGTGTCGTGGCACCCTAGGCCCTTTCCTCTTCAATATAAATTTTCAATTGAGCTAGTCTAGTTCCATCAAAAATGCTGTGGGGTATTGATTAGAATTATTGAATTTGTGGTTTTACGTCCTCATCATTCTTTCCAGAGGAGGAGGAGAGAGTTTTGCTCCCTGGAGTTGGAAGCAGGAGGTGGAGTGCTGCCCTTCCTCCCGTCTCTTCCATGGGAGCCAGCTGCCTGAAGAAGCACACATTCTGCCCTACCCATTACGTTTTACAGGGTCCCTCCCCAGTGGGAATGAGTGGGTTAGTCTGTCTAAGTCTAGTGTTAAGGACTTAGATTATTGTGGTTACATTCCTAAGCCGTGGTTTCCAACAGCTTTATTGATAATACAATTCATGTTTTGGTCTTCATCTGCCTGATTTTTATTTCTGTATTAGTTAAGAACTTGGGTAGAGAGAAGTATTGGTGCTACATATTGGTTACCTAAAACCCCAACATGGAACCTCTCACTTATAATATAAATGCCTATTGACTTATCTTTTCAAGAAGACTCTAGACCTCTTGAAGCTGTCACTGTTAAACTGAGTTCTGCTCACCTTTGAGAATCAGTATGATGTAATGGCTATGAGCAAGGTTTTTTTCTGGTTCTTCCATGTACTAACTGTATGGCTTTGTAAAGTTTATTTGTGAAATGAGGATAATAGTACTTACTTTATAGACCTATCGCAAGCATTAAATGAACCAATGCACATTAAAGTGATTTTAACACTAGCTAGTGTCTAGGAAGTTTTTAATAAATAGTAGCTGTTGTTATTGCTGTTATTTTCTCAGCATTTAGAGTTGTTTTAGGCACTTAGTTGGCACTCAATGAACCTGTTAATACTGATGGATTAAATGGAGTCAAGTTGACCAAGCTTTTGTGGCTCCACTCTGTGTTCACAAGCTCTCATTTAGTCTGCAGGCTCTTGTTTGCTGTGTCCTGCTTACCTTTCACAGAGGCTGAGCTTTTACAGAGGTATCCCTTTTCAAGATCCCAATGACCCACTCTTCTTGCAGTTTCATTATACCTGCAGTTTTAGAGAAATGTCATAAAATTATTTAGGAAGGGGAGTAAAAGATACGTCACTGAGTCTTCTGATCTCTCTCTATAAAGGAGATTATTAGTGTTTGGGTTCCAAAGATTGTGCATTTGGGTTTTGCTTCATATTATTAAACAGAGTTTTAGGATTGGCAGTCTTTGTGAGATTGCTCAGTGCTATCTGAAGGCCATAAAGATTCAATCACTGATCTGAGGGCTCTCAGCTGAAACTCTGTCAAGACTGGAATCTCATCCAGCACTCTTTTCTCTATTCTTACCAAAGTAAGGAATATTTTCAGCTCCCCATAACTGAAAACCTAACTGATAGTAGCTTTAAAAAGCCAGGATTCATTTTTCTTGTATCACCAGCTGCCTGGAGTAGGCAGTTGTTGCTTTCAGTTCAGTGGCTCAGTCCTGGCCCAGCTCTGGGCTGGCTTCCTTGAGGTCTTATTGGCCTGACCTGGCTGGCTGATGCCTGCAGAGGCTCCTAGCATCCTGTTCCTGCCACATTCACAGGCGGGAACGCTTCTCATGCCCTCTCGTCGGGACAAAGGAAGGACTTTCCCGGAAGTTTGTTGGCGGAACTGGGTCTCTTAGTCACCTCTAACCACAAGCAGCTAAGAAGGCGGATTCTGTGGTGGGAGGGAGGCAAGGAGAAGAGGCTTAGGAACTACTTAGAAGAACTTTAAAATAATTACTGACAATTGTTTTTGTTAACAGGATAAGAACCCATTCTACATTAACTGAAAATATGCTTTCTCATAAAGTACAATTTGATGGTAGGATCATATCAAGGTAATTGTGATTTTATTAAACTTTTTAATCTTGTGATTAAGAAAAGCTATTCTCTTTTTAAATAGAAATAATAGTGAGATTAAATTTAAGTGAAAAATGTGAATTTAGAACAAACATTTTTAGGTCATGTGTATTGTTTGTATGTTACAAAAATTATAGGAAGTATGAACCTACAAGAAAAACATTTTAATTAGAAATTACTTTAAAAGTGATTTTAAAATGTCTTTCAAAAAGAAACTCAATATTTTTTTAAGTTCTTTTGCTTTATCTTAAATGCCTATGTTGAATTAGTAATCCATATTGTAATATATCCATATTCATATCAGTGTAAGAAAAAGCTTTTTTCTCCACCCAAATCTTACTTGACTTGACACTTCAAGAAGCTCTGTCATGTTTTCCCTGTGCCTTCCTGTAACCCTTGCTCATTGGTGCACATTTGAAGGAATTTATGCTGTCTTTGACATACACAATTCTGGTTGATTATTTAATTTGAAAGTTATCCTATTTGAAAATCTTTTGATATCATTCTGTTTTTCTAGAAATGGACATGATGCTTGCAGAGAGCTGATTGGGTTCTTTTTCACTCATGACCAGTCTCTTACAGTTTATGAATATCGGCAATTTGGGAAAAATAGGTATGCCATAAAGCATTGTTACAACTCTCAAGATGACTATTTCTGAGAGAAGCTGAATAATTTCACATTTTTGTCCTTTAATTTCTAGAACAAATGTGCTTCCTTTCATTCAAAAAAATGTTTATAGTCATCAGCGTGGACGAAGAAAAGGAAAACAATACCAACTTGGTGATTTTTATATTGTAAGTTGTGTGCATACGTGCGAACATTTTAGTAGCGGATGTTGGGTGCTGTGGGATCCTGTGGGCTGGAGGAGCAGGGTTTCTAACCTTCACTTTATTTTCTCTCCTCCTTCCTGAGCAGGGGCATTTGTGTGAATGGCTAATGGTTGATGTTTCCCCATGAGGTTCTGCCTCTCAGGTCCAGATCCCCATGGTCTGAATCTAAGCATGGTGTTTATGCCCTGTAACACTCTCCCTGCCCAAATCTGCAATATAAGCCCAGGAGAGCTTGTCTCTCGGTACTTTTAAAGGCCTAAAAGGCATCCGGTATATCCCAAGGATTCCCTTGAATGGGTCAATCATAGGTAATGTTACAATTATTGCTCTTTAATTTTAAGTTATTACATCATGTTATCTCATGATCAACAGGCAGCAATATCTATGGTGATCATTCAGGTAACAAATACATACTCTTAGGCTAAGCATTGGAGATAGAACAGTGAATAAGTAAAATCCATTCCCTGCTTTTGTGGAGCCTACAGTCAGATAGGAGGGGCCAGAAAGGAGGGTCAATGACCCAGTTTTGTGGGGTTAAAGGAGGCTTCCTGGAGAAAGTGCCATCTAACCTTGACGTAGGGAAGGAGTTAGATGCGCTGGGGTAAGTAGACAGAAGGGTGTCAGGATGGGCTTCCAGGTGGAGGACACAGCAAAGAGCAAAAGCATGAAAGAACGTGGCTTATTTGGAGAACTGAAAGTAGTTCAGTATAGCCGAACTCTAGTTCAAGGTGGGGGTTGGCAAGAGATAAGTCAGAGCTTATCAAGAGCAGCCTTATGTTAAAGAGTTATGTAAAATGTACTGAGGAGATATTGAAAGAGAGAGGTGGATGGAATGAGGGGAGGTGATATTACCAGGTTTGTGATTTAGAAAGATCTCTCTGGTTACAATGTGGGGAATGGATTGAAGACTAGTACAAAGAACCGGATTGGAGTGAATTATATTAATCTAGGAAGGAGGTTATGGCAACCTGAACTAGACAAGTGACAATGGCTATGATGCTAATTAGAAAAATAAAAAAAAATCTTCAGGAGGTAGAATCAATAAGGTGTAGTGACAGGTTAGGTGAGGAGTTGGGGGTGCGGAAAAGCTTCACATCTTAAACTCGGATTGAATACACTACACATATGTCACTCAAGCCTGCCTCTTGAGATCTAGAGAAAATCAGCTCCAACTCCCATTTCACAACCTGCAGAGAGAATGTTTAATGCCTATCCCAAGATTAAATGTTACCCCTAGCTCTGGCTGCTGTCTCCAGTCATTTAGTGTGTATAGTTGATGATTTATTCTCGCTATCCCTGTTCCATATTACTTGAGCCAGATGTGGAACTCTGCTCCTTTTTATGATTTCTAAGAAAGAAAGAGAAGAAGCAGGGGCTGGAGAGAAACAACGAAGGAAGGGAGGAAACCATACACAAGCCATATATATAATGCTTTGAGTGTGTGGTAGACATTCTGACAGGGATCTAGAGGGAGATTTATCTTGCAGCAATGCAAGCAAGTTACTATCTATTATCCGACATTCGTAGTCTTAAAAATATGTTCCTTGAATATTTCCCATGGTAAAAGCCTTCCTCTCCATTTTCTGACTCCTTCCATCTCTTGCTGCTCCCCACATTCTTCCATTTCTTTATGCAGAAATATTTGACCTTCTTCTTTTTTGGGAGGGAGGGGCGGGTCTTTTCTGCCGTCCAGATGTTACTCTGGAACTTATCTTTTCATTTCTATATGCCCCTTCAAGGTTTTTTTCTAAACATTCCCTAAAAAAATTTTAGTGCCAGCTGTTAAGATAATAAGCAATATGCACACGTGCCCATAGACACTCATGCATAGAAGTGCACCCACATATGTTCACTCATACGCATGCATATACATATTGTGTGAATGCACAGACTGCATAGATGTACCTTTATGCACACACGTATGCATACACACATATACTTATATACATAACACTGCTACGCATATCACATGCTCTCTTTAATTGCTTAATATGATAATTTCAAGAGAACTTATATACATTTCAAAGAATGGATGAAGTACTTATAGTTACAGGTTTTCTAAAGTAAATGTTCCAGGAAAAAGGAGGGGAGAGAAATCTCTTCCTTAATTTTCAAGAGAGATAATTAAGCCTCTTATTTTAAATTTGTATTTGATCATATTTATTTGAGCAACTCAGAAATTAAAATAATAATTTTCTAAGTTTAGATTAAGGATTTTTGATAGGAATTTTTTCACCAAAGCCTTGATGCTCTAATTAGGTTAAAATTAGTTTTACATTTATGTGATGTTTGTCATTAAAAGACCAGGTGAAAGAGGGTGAGGAATCTATGATAGTTCAGTCCGTTTGCAGTACATCTTTCTGTGGGTCGATAGCTCTGTTTCTGTATTTAGGGATGTCATAAGTTCAATTGAAATAACTTGTCCGTTCTTCCTCCGATTCTTATAAAAATTTGGAGTTCTTATTTTTTCACGTAAATTGTTAAATCTAAGATTGTTCTAATTGAGAGATTGATTGGGAAATTAGTTCCTTTTTTTCCCTATATTATTAGCTGAAGGCCTGTGTACTTTCTAAATGTTCTCTAAATGTACTTTTTTATCAGTATAACAGTATACCATGTCACATATAATGAAAATTGAATATTTGAAATTAGTATTAGTTTCTTTTACTTCTTATATACTTTCTAGCCTTAAATAATTAATCTATTAATTTCTTTAGGGTGGAAACTTAACATTTTTGAGTTCTGATCATCCCAGACTTCCAGAGAGCATAAGAGAAAACACATTACTTATACTTCGAATCACAAATATTGATCAGATAGCTTTGGATTCTCTCAAGTAAGTCAAACATGCATTTGTCATTTTGAAAGTAAACAAAAACACTATTTTTATTGTTAAAATGAGATTCTATCCCAAGGGTTTTTCTTTTCTTTTCTTTTTTTTTTTTTTGAGGAAGATCAGCCCTGAGCTAACATCTGCCGCCAATCCTCCTCTTTTTGCTGAGGAAGACTGGCCCTGAGCTAACATCCGTGCCCATCTTCCTCCATTTTATATGTGGGACGCCTACCACAGCATGGCGTGAAAGCAGTGCCATGTCCACACCCAGGATCCGAACCGGCGAACCCCCAGCTGCTGAGGTGGAACGTGCGCACTTAACCGCTGCACCACCTGGCGGGTCCCCTAAGGCTTTTTTACTTTAGTTAAGGTTTATATTTTTTAAAAACAAACCATAGCTATATTTGTCTATTTTATGTGCTGTCTTGTACTGAAGTATACTCCATATATGGGAACAGTTACAATCAAGTAAAGATAAAAAATATGCCATTATGTTAGTTAAAGGTACTTTATTAATTTGCCTGTGCTAACACTTATTTTACCAAATGCTACCAAGTAATAAATTTTAACAGATGGAATATAGTAGAATATTATAAGAACTTTTCCCATGTTTTTAGTGTGATGCTTTTTTATTAAGCATTAAAAAAACATCTCGCGTCCCACATGCTTATAGTATTCATTGACTGATAATATGCATAATGAAAAAATAATGCTATGAATCAAAAAATATTTTTAAATGAATTTGAGTTTTTAATCACAGAGTATATATATGTGTTATTCTTGCTGAGTGTTTCTTGGTACTAAATATAATTCAAAATGACAATAATTGGTGTACTATATGTGCATTAGAGGCCGTATTCCACATATTGGCTGGAGGGAGTGTATGTTTCTTTGTCATTTACTGTATTGCTCAAAATGAATGCAATTTTTTGTTTTTTTAAAATAGATTTTTTACATTTTATACTTTGCAAGGTAAAACTGCTTTTAAATTTAATAATTATAATTAAGTAGTTTAATTAATTAAGAGAACATTGAAATAATTACAAACATGAATATAATTTTTAAATGTAGTCTTGGAAGACTGTAAGGATCTGGGCCTTGGTTTAGCATATTTAACCCCCCTGGGCACCAAAGCCGCAGGTGAAGGCGGGACTTGAGAAATCTCGAAACCACCTTCCTACTTTGCTTGAGAGTTTCTTTGAGTCTAAAGCAAAGAAGAACTTAGAGTTTCCATACTCAAGATTGCACAATGGAGTATATTTTTTTCACTGTGAACGTGGCAATTGCAGAGCTGATTCTGTGGAACGTGAGGATGACATAACCAGTCAAGAAGCCAGTGATAAGCTGGTGCTCAAGGCTGTTCAAGGTACGTGTCATTGCTATGTTCGCAGGTAGGTTTAATTTTCAGCCACTTGCTTTGCAAGCAGAAAAACAGTATTTTCCAGATATTTTTTAGTTTTATGGCACTTGATTTATGTTTTCTATTTGCTTATCTTTTTATAAGTTTATATATATATAGATAGATATTTAAAAATATTTTTAGGATTTCTCCTCCTTTAATGATCCTATTTATATGAATTATGAATTTAAAAAAGTACTAGATAGTATGGGTTTTATTCATGAAATGAATACAATGGAAGTGATTTTTGTAATATAATACTTGTCTTCTGCGTTAGATGATCTCCTAGAGAGATTGTGGTGGCCTGGTGGAAGAGAAAAGCGCTGGACCGGGAGTCAGTATCATGTTTGGGGTCTGCCATTCACTAGACATATGACTTTGTGTAAATCTCTTGCACCTCTTTCTTTATCTCTAAAATGGGGATAATAACCTATTTTATTAACTTTCCAGAGTTGTTGTAGGTAATAAATGAAATATATGTAGGTTTTGGACACTAATACATTTTATAAATTTTGTTTTTAGAGTCCAATCTTATATCCACTACAGTTTACTAGGCTCAAGTGGACAATTTCTTTGCTGAGTCTCATATTCAAGAAGGGAGGAGGGCATTAACCAAGTAATCACAGAAGTCAACAAATAATTTATAAATTTTGATAAATCCTGATTTATCATTTAAAGATGAAATGGGGTAAGAAGGCTAGAAACAGATTTAAAAGTTGTCTGGAATTGGTGTTTGAACTCTCAAATATCCTTGATGCCACTGTTAGTAAATCGTTTTCTCTATTCTGTCATGGTCAACACAAAATTTGTCCCTATTGTATCTGGTGACATTTGTTCCTTCTTCTGATGATTATATTTAATACTTGCTTTAGTAAAGCTACCTAGATTTTCTTAAGTAAAGATGGCAGAACTGTGTTAAAGGAAGTCGCTGAGCCACACAAAGAGTGCTAGGGGCTTGAGTATGATTTCTGATGAATTCCTGTAAGAAAGGGTTACTTTAATGCACTGGTATAGGATAGCACCCCAAAGCCTTGATGCTATTTAATATGTAAGTTACAATTTGAAGATTTCAAACTATTTTAGAAATTTTGAACTGATGATTTTTGAGTAACTTGCCTGGCATCAATTTTGTAATTTGGTTGGTAACAGCAAAGAAAGAGGAAAGAGATTAACGATGTGGGATGAAGAGGAAACCTGCAAAATAAAAACTAAAATTTTATTTGTAGCATCTAGATTGTTTTCATGCTGATAAAGTGAACTGTTATTTTCCTGTATTTAAGATATAACACTTTCACCACACAGTGGTGCTATGGTTCTGGTATATTTACTTGTGATTTTATATATAACCCCCTTTACTAAAAGCTTTCTATTTTGCAAAGTCTCTCAGTCATATGTATGATCTGTTTGTATATTCACATATGTTATATCAGTTACATTGACTTTAATTTTCTTACAAGAAAACCACTTGCAATTGATAAATTTGTGCATAGGAACAATTACTTTCTATCTCTCTTCTTCCTAAACAGATATGCTAAAAGAACAGCTACGTAACAGAGGTGTTCGCATTTTGACTGGATTGGGAAAATACCTTCAACAATTGGACAAGGAAGGAAATGGACTTTTAGATAAGGCAGATTTTAAACAAGCTCTAAAAGTATTTCACTTAGAAGTATCTGAAAATGTATGTACCACAGATAATTCTCTGCAGTGAATGACACATTATTCTTAAATGGTATTATTCACTTTGCTACTGAAATTTTAGTAATTCCTTTGTCTCCTTCTTCTTTATGCCTCATTATCAGTGTTAAGCTATCAGGCAAGTAGTCCTGTTGATTTTTAAAAGTCCAACATTGACTCCTCCCTCACATGTTTATTAAGAGCCTTATAACCAGGCATTGTTCTAAGCTGTGAGAAGGCATACTCTGTACTCTTAAGGTCTTCATAATCAAAGGAAAGAAACATATAAAAGATTACAAAACAATATGATATGTGTCAAAGGGAGAATGCTTTCAGAACACATGGGATAAATTCCAAGCCAGGTTATGGCGAAGGAGGGAAGATCACAGGATTCCTGGAGGAGGATCGTCCGCACGGAGTTTTGAAGGCTGAGAAGGAGTCGAGCAGACAAGAGGGGAGGAAGGGCATGGATCAGACAGAGGATACTTCCCGAGGAGAAGGACGTGTGAAGGCATGGAGGGGAGGAGTGTGGCCTCTTCCGGGAATTGCAAATCCCCACGCCACGCCCCGTCCCGAGCCTTCGCAGCACTGTCCCCTCTGCTCTGAGGGATCTTCACTAGACCTTTGCAGGGCTGGGATTTCTCGTCATTCAGGACACATGTTTCTCTACTGAGAGCACTACCCTGACTCCTCTGTCTGCGGGAGCACCCCGTCTGATCCCTGGTCCTCTCTACGCCATTAGCCCATTTTATTTTCTTCATGTCGCTTTATAAGTATCGTCTGGCTCTGCCTGCAAGTAGATTGTGAGTCCTATCAGCACAGGGACCAGGATGCTTCTGGTTTCCTGCTCTATTTCTGTCACCTCGAATAGAACCTGGCATATAGCAAGTGCTGAATCAACAGATGACACATTGGTTTAAAGGGATAGACGGAAGGAAGGAAGGTAAAGAGAGGAATGGAGAGAAATAAACCCAGCGGTGTCCGTGACAATGAAGCCTTGCACATCATGCTGAGAAGTTTGGATTTTATCCTAAAAGCATATGAATTTGAAACCCATTTACCTCAAAGGTTTCAGATAAGGCGCTCTCTTGCATTGTTCTCTTTTACTTGAAATGGTCTTATCACAAGATACAGTGTGTTTTGTGGAGGGAACACTGGAAATTGAATTTATGAGGTATAGGTTCAGTTCTATCCTTATGACTTGAACTGTGTGATCTTGAATAGGTCTTTTGACTTTCTGATTGACAGGCTCTGCCTAGGCGATCCAGATATGATGCATATAGTCACAGTTGCTTTGAAGCTCAAAGGAGGAAATTACATGGGAACATGCCTTATCAACTATAAAATCTGTGCCAATATGGTGTTGCCTATCATTGTTGTGATGTATCTGTCTTCCGTGTTTTTTGCTGAGTTTAACCTTGTGGCCCACCTAGTGACACACACCAGGGACCATCTAACTTCATCTCTTCCTTTCATAAATAATCATAATAGTAAAAAGCAGCAATAGAAAATTAGAAAGCCTTGGTGTCTTTATCTACCATCACACAGGTAATTATTAACTGAGATAGAACTAGAACCCAGATAATCTGGGCCAGGCTAGTACTCTTTCTGCATCACCACAATACTTCTCTTTTTGTTGATTTGCTAAATTTTTATGATTGGATTCAGGAATAAAAACTAAAATAATTATATAAGACTTCTAACATAGGGAGAACATATATTATGAAGATATGAGTAAGCTTCCTCTTTTTCTCACTTAAAAAATGATATCCCCTGTTATTTTCCCTGTAATGTCCCTGGAGACCGCCCGTGCAAAGATAAGCAAACACAAGAACATAAGAATCCCCAGCCTGGACGAATTGTGGAGCTAGTTTCTGGGAAGCCATTGTCATTCTCCCTGATGTGAAATAAAAAAAAAAACATTGATATGCTCCCTAAATAGCCTAATTTATATAGAGACACTATCAATAAATTTACCTCAGTTTTTTCCCAACTGAATGATTATTTTCCTTTCTGTACCATATCTTTGAAAGGAAGAGTTATATAAATTTGTCGCCACTTTTGGTAAATTATTCAATTCTTGAACACTATTTCTTATAAGCTTCAAGCAGTATTTTTTAATTCTAGTATTCCATGAGTTGGGTGAACAAATTCATCTTCTATCACTATTACTTATGATTTTAAAGGTCAAGCTCATTTTCACACTTAACGCTCACTTTACAGATACTTATAGTCTGTACCATGTACAGGGCTTAGGATAGACAAAACAAAAGTGTGGATTGTTGAGAACTGGGGGGAGGCAGGGCACCTTAAGATGTAGTTTTTCTTATTACAGTTTTAATTGAAAAAAATTAGAAGAAAGTGGAAGAGAATATTTTTGAGTACCCATTATTTGTCGTCACCTTGCTAGATGTTTTATTTACATTCTCAGTTAGAGCTAACAACTGGACTGAAACATTGAAAAGATATTCACCTGAGTTTAAGAAACTCTCATGCTGGATTGCTGGGTTAGGAACTCTGTGAATAGAACATTCTGTTAAATAGTGCATTTGCCAAAGAAGTCAGAGTCGATGGTAAATGAACAAACTGGCATAGAGGTTTACTCACAATAACACCTTTTAGTGTAAATTATGGAATCATATTAAAGTCATTCAGATCTTCCATACTTTCAAGCATGAAGACTAGCAGAAATACAATCAGTGGACCTAATGTTATTGGAGGCATTTCAGAACCTGGAGTGACTTTTTAATTGTCACAGATAGAAAACATTAAAAATAATTGTGCTCAAATTCAAGTAAATGGTAAGTATTTTTACGTGTGTGTGTATAGAAAGGAATTGAACTTAAAAAGATAGATTTGGGATTTATTGCCATTCCTAAGTGGCTCTTTACAGAACTGTCCACCACAGAGTTCCTTTAAATAGCTTTCTTAGTACCTTTGCTTGGATTTTTATTTAACTTTTTGGAATTTTCTTATTAAGTCTGCCGCCTTGTCTGGGGCTACAAAGATGTAACAAAATGCTATTATGATGATTATTGTTGTGGCCATATATAACTTAAAGGTGTAACAGTGGTCTCTGTGATTATTTCCAGGATTTTGAGTCTTCATGGCTAATTCTGAATGGCAATGGCAATGGCAAGGTTGATTACGGAGAATTCAAACGTGCCGTTATTGGTGAAATGAATGAATACAGGAAATCATTTGTTCGGAAGGTAACTTTCTTAAGTAATCTTTCAAATAGTTACTTATAATAGGTTGTTAGGTTCATTATTTTAAATGAATTACCATGTAAAATATTTTAAATCCCTTTAGCTCTCATGTATTTGGGTTTAGTAGAACACAAACGCATACAAACTAGCCCAGAATAAAGCAAAATAGTTTATGCATATGTTTTTGGAAAATATTATAAAAGGAAAATAAAATCTGAAATCAAATTTTGTTCACAAATTACTAGTTCTGTAAATTGTTGGCTCCATAAATTACTAGCTATATGACTATATCTGTTATTAAATATCTCCGAGCCTCAGTTTCTTGTCCCATAGAGGTGGTGTAAGGATTGAATAAGATAATTTGTGTTAAATTCTTAGCATTGGTGGCTGTCCCAGTGTCAAGGCTCAATACATGTTATCTTAGGATGGTTTCTCTGGTTTTTATAATATGCATGCTAAATGTTAAAATGAAGATGAAAGTTACCATCTTAAACTGGAATTAAAAACAGGAGTCCTGATTTTCTTAGGAAAGTACATATCACTTGGATTCTGGTAGCCATTTTTAGAGCAGACTTTTGAACAATGTAGTTTTCCTTTTCTTTCATGTATGTACCTGATATAAAATGTATATGTATCTCATATTGAAACAAAGCTATTGTGTATGGAATAGTATAAACAGTACATCAGGTGTAAGTCTCAAATAGAGAATATCAAAATCTTTACTGGCCAAAAGACACAATAAAAACCCCATGTGAAACAAATTCACCACATAATATTCGTAAATTTGCATTTATTTGTACTTTGCATGTGCTAGTAATAGGTTTGAGTGTCCAGAGTGGAAACTGGAGGTTGTCTCTTTCATAAATCTTGGTGCTGGCAATAGAGGACACACATAGAGTTATAAAGTAGGGCTGCCCTAACAAATACCACAGACTGGGTGCCTTAAACGACAGAAATGTGTTGTCTCACAATTCTGGAGGCTGGACGTCCAAGATCAAGGTGTCGGCAGGTTTGGTTTCTCCCTCAGCTTCTCTCCTTGGCTTGTAGATGGCTGCCTTCTCCCTGTGTGTTCACGTGGTCGTCCCTGAGTCTGTGTGTCTGTGTCCTCACCTCCTCTTCTTCGAAGGACGCCAGTCAGATTGGATTAGGGCCCACCCTGATGATTCCATTTTATCTTAATTACCTCCCTAAAGGCTCCATCTCCAAATACAGTCACATTCTGAGATACTGGGGTTAGAGCTTCAACATATGAATTTTGGGGGATACAGTTCAGCCCATAAAATGCACTGTATGCCTGTGAACACACTATTGTGAATAGACTAACTTGATTATAGTTTTGACTCTTCTGTAAATGTGGGATGTTGCTTTGGTCAGTTGTGTGTTTCTGTGCATCCACTTCTCTTCCCAATAAAATATTTTATATTTTATGATACTCAGAATTGCATTGAATTAGAGGAGCAATGAAACAGCTAGCATTTCAAAAGGTAGTGTTAAATTTCAGGAGATAGAGTGATTAACCCATTTATAAAGTATTTCACTTTCTCATTGATTTTGCACTTTTTGAATCAAAATAGTCCTGGCAATTTGTCTTGGCCATTTATCAGTTTCACGTGAATCCTAGGGCCGGAAGCTACCTGAGAGCTTTTACCCAGCTCTTCAGTGTGCAGAGCAGGAAAGCCAGGGTGGCTGAGGTTTTCTCAAGGTCAGGGTGCTGGAAGGTGGTAGAACTAATACTTGAGTGCAGATTACCTAGTGCCTTTTTTTTTTTTTTAAAGATTGGCACCTGAGCTAACAACTGTTGATAATCTTCTCTTTTTTGCCCCCTAAAGCCCTCCAGTACATAGTTGTATATTCTAGTTGTAGGTCCTTCTAGTTCTGCTATGTGGGACGCTGCCTCAGCATGGCTTGATAAGCAGTGCCATGTGTCCGCACCCAGGATCTGAACTAGCAAAACCCTGGGCCAATGAAACGGAGCATGGGAACCCAACCACTTGGCCATGGGGCCAGCCCCTAATGTCTTGCTCTAATATCTTTCTCCCTGTGTCCATGATGCTTCCTTCACACACCAGTTTAATACTTTTAAACTGTCTTGTTTAGAGCTCAAAAATAGCCTACTGTAGAATAGAAGATTAGGTTCACATGTCTAATGATTTCATACAAAAAAATAACATTTCTCTCTTATTTAGGCCTTTATGAAACTGGATTTCAATAAAACAGGCAGCGTGTCTATTATAGACATAAGAAAATGTTACTGTGCAAAGGAGCATCCTCAAGTAATTTCAGGTAATTATTATAAGTCAGACTGCATTAGATTTCTAAAATGTTAGTTAATAAAAATATCTTTAAATCATATTAATTTATAATGTGGACTTGAGGCCATTAAGGGAAGAAATAAATAATTATTTTTTAAACCAGAAATGTGAGAGCTATTTGACTTTTTTCATTTATACTTCTTAGGTCTATTGTCTGTACTTATTTTTTTCTTTTATGTTTGTAATCGAGATTGAACTTTTATTTCTTGTTGAGGAGATAATGAGGGGCTTGAATTAGAAAGAATAGAATAGACTGGGAGAACGGATAATTACATGTGCAGGTTCTCCGAGTTAGTTTTACAGCATCTGCTTATACCTGAAGATTGACGGCAGAATGAGGGAACGCCTTTCTCTAGTGATGGGGCTATACATACAATGAACATACATACATCTATCAAAATTTGAGGATATAGAAAATATCGAAGTGATTCTAGGGATTCATTACCTACTATATTTCTTCTGACTTTTACTTTTACATAACTGATTTATAAATGAATTCTTATTGTGAAGAACGATTTAGCCACAGTAACTCTCCTCTGTTCACTGTTTCCCTCTGTAGACATGACGGTGATTACCATTTAATATGTATATATTTCCATCCCTACTGTATGAATTTTCATAGCTGTATGTGTACTATAAATATCTAAGTTTTTTGAAGATTTTTTTTACATGAAAGGCACACTAAATGTATTGCTCTGTAGTTTTCTTTTTACACACCAAAGGAGCTGTCCCTGGGTGGGCTCGAACCACCAAGCTTTCTGTTAACAGCCAGACGCACTGACTGATTGCACCACGGAGACAAAGATTTGAGCACCTTATTTTTATCTGCTGCATATCTTTTTAAAAATCAGTATACTACGGTTTACTTAGCTAGTCTTCTATTGGTAGAGTAATTTCTAATTATTGATGTACAATTAGTGAAGTAATGAATATGCTTATTTATGACTCCTGAAGCCCATTTTCTATTATTTTCTTGGGGTAATATCAAGACCTAGAACATCTATATTACAAATTTTAATTGATCCTCCCAACTTGTGTTGTAAGATGGCTATGCCAGATTACCCTGCCATTGCTGGAGAATTCATTTCCCCCACAACCTGACAATGCCTTAGATTTTTGCCAATCTGATAGGCTAAAAAACTATTTTTATTTGCATTTCTCCAGTTACTAGGAAGGTTAAACATATTTTTGTATATTTATTGACCATTTGTAATTTATATTTTGTGAATAGTTTCTAATTTATAATTTTGATTATATACTGGTAAATACTATAGAATACTATTATTCTAGAATTTTCCTTTTTTAATATTAAGAGAAGATGCACTGGGAGCTGGCCCAGTGGCGTGGTGGTTGAGTTCATGTGCTCCCCTTCAACCACCTAGGGTTTGCAGGTTCGGATCCCGGATGCGGACTTGCGCACCACTTATCAGGCCATGCTGTGGCAGTGTCCCGTATATAAAATAGAGGAAGATTGGCACAGGTGTTAGCTCAGGGACAGTTTTCCTCACAAAAAAATTTTAAAAACGAAAAAGAAGATGCATTGTAATTACTTTGGTTTATTATCATCATTAACCTTTGTAAATGGTTTATTTATAACTTTTAATTGTGAAGTGAAAAAAACAACAGAATTTGTTATGAAGATTAAAGCTAATCATCATTGGCTTCCCAATTTGTCATAATGTATTTCAGGTCAACATAGTTTCATTTGTTTATCAATGACTTTAAATGAACTACAGTTGCCGTAAGAGAATTTCCAGTATTATTTAATTGTACTTAGTGTATCTTTCCCTTTAAATCCATGCCATTCTCTGCTTTTTTCCTTTAACTAGTCATACTAAATATAAAAACAAGATAGTTTGTCTATTTCAAAATTAGGTGATTTCAAAACTTTTTATTTTTTTCTCTTTGTCTTCTCTAGTAATCTTAACTAAGTTGCTTAAGTAGCTTTAGTATGCGTCACTGAATCGGCAAGGGTTCTGTTTTTGTTGTTATTGGATAAGCCTTTGTTAGTTGAAGAAATTCCATACCTCTTCTTTGCATTCACATTAAGGAAGATAAGCTAGAAAGCTAAACAGTCTTAAAAAAAGGAAAACCTGTTACTGTTTTTAAAAAAAGAAAGACAGAAAACATTTATTGTTATCTATCATTACAAATTATAATCTATTCACGCACTCATCTTTGCGATATAGATTGTTTACAATTTATATTTAATTTCAAATTAAGGCTTTTGTATCACATATAATTTAACCATAGAAAGTATTTTCTTTTTACTTTGCTTAAATAATTTATTAGAAAAAAGCATTTTCAGCTTAAATAGAAATGAGATTTCCCAAATGTATTTCTGTGTAATGGTGTTAAAAATCTAACATCATTTATTAAAATACCTTCTGGTCTCTGAGAGTAGTGAAAGAAAGCTTAGTTACAAATGAGAGAAGGTAGGTATTTTCTGGGTGGGGGATACAAAGGAGGCATAAAATTCTTGAGTATTTGAAACGTACATTTAGATAAAACATGTTTTTCTTAAGTGTTAAACTCATCTGTTCAAAAGTATGCATGGTATAAGGGGAAATCTCTTCTGCTGACAGGTAAACATTTTTATATAGATTAGATCTCGATTAATTTTTATCCTTGACTAGCATTCAGTCACAAATTCACTTTACTGTTTTATATTACCATCTCTGCATAGCATAATTATTCGGTCCTTGTTTATTCAACTTGTTTTCTTAAGTAAAATAATCACTTGTTCTCTATTTCTCGCGTGTTTTTAAAAGACAGCAAACATCTTGCTATCCAAAGCAGATTTTATTGTTTTAGTTTGAAAGGCACTGTACAATGATTTATTATCTAAGTCGGTTAGAGAACCTCTGGCTTTTGAAAAAGATCCAACTCTTACCATAATTTTGCCCACCCTGTAAGAAACAATTAAAGGTGGTATTCCCATTTTTTTATTTTAAAATGCAACTTGACTTTAAAACGATTTAGAGAGTCACATAGATTTTTCTGACCCTTTTTCTTCCTTTGTATATGGGCCTCTATTTTCTTTGAGTATTATATGACCATTTTTTTAAAGCTTCTTTTCATCTTTTAATTCCTCTTTTCTTATTAAAAAATTAATGAATGTCTTTTCCCCTGTGTCATGATAGGATCCTGGGAGTAGATCCCTGCAAAGAGGGTGGGGATGGGGGCGCAAATTAGTGAGATGAGTTCTGTGACAGAGTGCCTACATGTGGGTGGTCGCTGACAGCTTCCTAAGGAAATGGTGTTTAAGCTGAAATCACTCCTTCCCTTTAACTGGTCATAATATAATCAAAGCGACTTATTTAAATAACTTATTGTTCTCTTTGTGGATTAAAAATCAAATGAATTTTTAAAAGGATGAATCAGATATGTTATGTTCTTTCTTTAAGACACAGATCAAAGAATTAGAATTTTCTTTTACACATGATTTTCAATAGCATCTTTCTATAGGATGAAATTAATCATATTTGATATAATCCAGTGGAAATAGCCTACTGAAAGTTAGAGATTAAAATAGAATGATTTAATCAAGTGAAAGTTCTTCCAGCAAAGGTTTTCAAAGGCCTGTGAATCCTGTTTGCAGTGACATTTTCTAGCCTCAGTCATGAGTAACGGACCCATAAAATAACCAATGCCTGAGCGTAGGGCCGCCTTTCACACAGTGCGTTACTGTGTCAACAGCCTAGCAATCGTTGAAATTATTCGCTTGTTTTCTTCTTTCCTCATTTCTAATGGGAATGAAGGCAAGTCTTCTAAAACATTAAGAAATATAAGAATATCTATAGTAGTAACTATTATTTTGCCTTTCCGTATAGGATAGCCCCATCAGAAGCTTAAAAGATGCCTCAAATGTGTATTAAAATCACCATTAAATTCTATTTCATGTAAGAAGATGTTTAAATAAATTGGAGGGCAGTTTGACATAAAAGTTCAAATTGTTGAAAAAATTTCCTAAGGTGATTATTTTTTTATCATCGTCAGTCATTTTACTGGACTTTTAAGGAGATTGTTTCATTGTCACTATTTTACAGGCCATTCTACAGAAGAAGAAATCAAATCATCTTTTCTAGAAACCCTGAAAGATGCCTGCAGCAAATCTGATGAAGTGTCGTATGGTGAATTTGAGGATTTCTATGAAGGTCTAAGTATAGGGATAGCCGATGATGAAGATTTTGTCAATGTCTTACGTATTCCATGGGGAATTTAGTTTTTTAAAGTGAATATGCCGTTCGCACTAAGCATTTTAAGGGAGAGATGAATTGAATGTAAAGTATGATCAAACACTGGAATATATTTGTCTAAAGCTCCCTTTATTCAGATTTTTTTTTCTCGAAAAGTTGAGTATGGGAAGAGAATATTCAGAAGGACAGATGTTGGGTGTGTGAAAGTTCCTGCACACGTACAAGTGCTCGCTTGTGTATAAGTTGTTAAAGCTCTGTCTTTTTGATTTATTACTTATCTTGAATATATTTTAGAGGTCAATTTTTAATTAGCTTTCATAAGAAAGTTACATCTGTATCAAACTATATGACAGCATCTATACAGTAACCACATTTCTTGTCTACTGTTTTTTTGCTACCCATTCCCCAAAATATAATTGCCACCATTCTCAATTTGATGATTGGAATTGGACCCAAAACCTGTGAGACTAAAATAGTTCACCTTGTTTCAAACATATGAAAATGTTCAAGGAATTAAAGTACATGCAAGAGAAATTTTCCATGCAGCGTGATTATAGATGTTTTCTGTAACAAGCATTTAGAATGATGGAGGCTTACCCCTAAAATGCTTATTTAAACGCTGATTTGTCTTGTGAATTCTTGTCTTCTAAATTATGTGCTGCTATTTGTTCAGTAGAGCACAAGGTAATTATTCTAGTGACTAGTTCTGTTTGTTCTTTTATTCTGTTTTTAACTACAAATCTTATTACCTGCACAGAATTGTTATTTAGCTAGAAACAATACAAAATGGGAGGGGGAATGTTTTCTTAGATTATTAAATAAGGATCTAAAAACGTGCATTATCCATTATCACATATATGGACTAAGGGATAATTTAGCAATTCTTATCCAAAATGTAAAGAGATATTTTCTGTCCCACAATTAATGTATGTTATTCTAAGCATCTCTTTTTGGTATATTAAACAACTGAAACATTTTCTTCTAAATAGATATTATTTAACGGTTAGATGTGTTAGAATCATTTTGTCTAAATTATTCTATGTTTCTCACTTGTCCTTGGAAATACAGAGAGAAGAGAGAACTTTATAGAGTTGTTTCCAAGTTCATAATTTTAAATTTTATATGTTAAGATTACATAAATTAGAAAAAATAGCATCAAGCAAAATAAGTGGTTCAAAAATGAAAAATCTATTTTGTAGAATATGACTTTTGTCTATTCCCTTGGCAACATTATCAGAAATGTGATGTGTGTGAACCCAATAAATTCAAAGTAGTACTTTTTCAAGATCTGAGGAGGTGTTAAAATTCACTACTAAAATATCAGAAAGAAAACATATATAAGTATATGTAACATTTCAGTGCTGTCTTCGCTAGCTAAATTTATACCTTGGAATTTCTTTTTTGTTTAGGTTATTGTAATTGAAACAATAAACTGGAAGACATTTTGGCAAAAATAAGTCTATAACACCATTTCTGAGTCATGTTCTCTTTTTTGGAAAAATTTATCCCACTGTAATCATCTTAAACCCTACAGAGGGTTCTCATGTTAAAATGACTACTACTGTGGTTGGGCAGCACGCGTGTAGTATTTTCCGTTGATAAATTTTTCTTTACTTCTCCTTAACAAATCTGTTCTCAATATTGTTGTGTCATATTTTCCTGTGAATATAATCAGAAAATACGTAGGCTGTCATATTGTAGAAAAAGGGGAGATTCTTCTGGGATCTAACATTTTAATAAGACAGCACACTCTGAAACAAACTTCCTTCTTCATCTAAATACTCAGTGTGGTCATTTGTAGAAGTTTTTCCCTTCAGGAGATGTAGCTTTTTTGTAGTTAATTTATTATTTTACACTATTATTTCCATGTAGAGTTAGAAAATACATATCCAATACGTTATTTGCTATATTTTGTTAAATTACAACTGGTGGCACAATAAATCATTTTTATTTTGCCTCATTGTCTGTATTTTTCTTTGACTTTGGTGTAGTAAAATCTATTTTTTAGTATTCAATTTACTGGAAGTTACATTCAAACATCCACAATGTGTAATAGTTGACTTTTGAAATTCTACTCTTGATAGTCTTCAAGATTCTAAAATATCTCATGACTAAAATATTGAATTATATGTTGTAATGATGTTACATGAATTTTACAGTTAAGTGTATTTCATCATTCTCAAGATCTTTGAAAAGCAGGCACTTGTTTGTTGTATAGAATCGCTTTCCCAGATAACCATACTGTTCATTGAATTCTATGTGTTGATTTTGTGATTTTGTTAGAAAACAAGGGACATTATTTAGGAATTTTTAGCTATATTTTAATTAGAAAGAATACATATTTGCCTGATGGAGCAGCTAGAGTATTGTGTAGGCAAAAGTACATGTTCCTGTTTTAAAGGTTATTGTACATGAACATATGTGCTTAGTGAACCAGTGACTGCACAGGGAGAGTCACTTAGAGTAATTCATAATTGGATAGTTCTAAAACACATCTTATTAATTACTTTGGATTTCCATTCAGTTTAAGTTGTTTTCAGTTATGTTAGGAGAGAATTGTATACAATAAGCTATGCTTACTGCAGAGAATTTAACATACATTTGTGAGGTTATAGTTTGCAGTGCTTGCATAAATAAGATATATACTGTGATAAATTGAAATCACTTCCAGGTTGACCAGCAGGGACAAGCATCTGTAGTGAAAGTGCTTAAAGAAGTGGAGGGAACTGAGCCTCTGTAACACAAGCCAGGTAAGAGAAGAGCAGAGAGAATCCAGTGGGTTGACATGGGTGTATTAGTATCTGATAATGAGAAGAAGCTCCTGTCATATAGCCTTCCATTTTTATTTTATGGTTATACAGACTTTTAAGGAAAACTTATGTATTGGATATCTTCATATAATAAAGAATAAATGCACCATATTGAAGCCACTGTTAATTTGATCTTTACTTCATTCATTCGGTCGTTTATACTTACTGTGTAGCACAATCTGTGCAATTGCCCAAGGTCCTGAGACATTCTAGATTTTTCTCATTCTCTGTTTATCCACTCAGTCGCGAGTCCTTTAGTTTCTTACTTTGGAGTCTGTCCCTTTCACTATTCTTGCACTCGCTATGCTTACTATATATCTCAGTATGCTTCTGCCTTTGCCCAAACGCTTACCACTTGTCATGTGTATTACCCCCTTATCGACTCTGCCTCCTCCCCAATCCTACTTCAACTCATCCTACATATTGTTGGAACAATCCTTCTAAAATCTACATTACTTGCATGATTCAAGTTCTTTCATGGTATTCCATATCTTTCAGAAAAATTCAAACTCCTTACCTTAACACGTAAGCCTAAATGAGCTGGTCTCCCAAGCTCATCTCCCTCCACTCTGTCTCCATGTCCTCCAGCCACTCTGAACTACTTACCGTTTTTAAAATGGATTGTGAGGTTTCAAACCTCTGCCTTCAGAACTGCTCTGCGACTTTGTTTAAAATTATTTCCTCCATGTAGTGCATCTAAATTAATTCATACTGGTTTTCTAACACTACGTCAAGAACCATCTCTTCTAGAAAGCTAAATCAGACAAACTCTTGAGTCTGATGTAGTTGCCCTTCTTTGGGATCCCATTGGCACCCTGGGTGTGTTCTTAATCCAGCTTTTATCACTTTATACTATATTGATTACCTTGCTTATGTTTTTCCCACTAGATTGTAAGCTCTTTGAAGATAAGAATCATATCTTGTTTAACTTTAGGACCCTGGTGTCTAGCACAGCATCTGACATGTGGTAGGTGTTCCATCAAAATCTGTTGACTGGATGAATGTATGATTTATTGAGCAGCAATTGTTCTGGTACTTACATTTGAACACTTTTTCGTTAAAACACTTTAGCATAGACTGTGTAAATATTATGAATGTGCAATTTAGTGTAAGCGTCAATTATAGGGGCAGTAAGTTCCCCTAATAAAGAATGCACAGACGAAAGGTGGGTCGGTTAGCACTTTTATTACGGAGGGCTCACTGCTCAGTGGCTGCTGTGCTCCCTTCAGTTAGCTGGAACTCAGGCAGGATCTGATGCCTACAGAATTAGCCTCCTAGGCACGATGAGTTTTATTCATGAAGACAGTGTCTCCTTAGAGTCCGAAAAGGCCTGGGGGGCCGTCTGTGGATGAGAATGACTTCTGGTTGCCCAGCTGTAACAGATGCCTGCCCTGGAATGTTGCCGCTGCTTCCTCCGCTGAGCCTTTCGTGCTCACTGGGGGTGGGAACTCGTGAAAGGACAGGTCGCTGGGATCCACTGAGTTTACAGAAGAGCTGTGTAGTCTCTGTGCCTCCTGCTAAAATGTGCTTGTTTAGTAAATGTCTGTATATGTGGCAGAGTTTGGTCTGAAAATTTATTTTACTATAACTGGGGAGTGAGGTTAGAAGTAGCTAATGCTCACCTACTGCAAAGATGTTAGTGAGGGTCCCAGTTAACCACCATAAAAACCTATTGCTTGTGCACAACTAAATTACTCCTAATTCACTCGTCAGTTCATAGCTGCAATTTTCTGTCAGACCCTGCAGGAGGCATCACTGAGCCCAAATGACAGGCTCAATGCCTAATGTAGTAGAGTTAAAAATTTCAGCCCTGCCCGTGACTGAGGGAGCACAGGCGTGAACCAGGTGCAGTGGAGTGGGGAGGACTGTCGTGCCCACCCAGGGGAGGAGGAATTCGCCACTCTGAAAACACTGCTTTGTGAAGGTATTATTGAGATGGTGATTATACAGTTCTGTGTGAAAACTGAAACAGGAAAGATTTCAGAGGTTGAACTGTACAGAGTGTAGAAAATTATTACTGGATACACATTTTCGAATTTCTCTCTTTAATAACGTGTGTAAGATGATTTGTATACTTTTTAGATATCCAAGCAAGATAAAGTTATCCAGAAGGATTTGAATTTAAAAATTGCCTCACTGGTAACAAGTTTTATGCAAGGAGGAAACAATCAAGGCCCGTGTTGTGTTTAAGTATTCTTTTTATCAGGTTAGAATTCTGATTTCTGTGTGATGGCTGAATGAGTTTAGGTATAAATGAAAAGATTCTTGCTTTTTGTAACTGTATGTTGAGTTTCCTGGGATTTTCAGATGAAACAAATAACTGCACTTCAAGAAAATAATTTTGTGTCACTTATAAAAGTTGCACAATTATCCAGTAGTTGAAGAGATTCTTATCAAAGAACTTTGCAGAAAATATATGTTGTCAAAGAAAAGTAATTTTGAGGAAGTGTTCAGATGACTGCTCCATCAAGAAAAGGTGTGTACTAATAGTAAAAAAAATTTTTTTGAGGAAGATTAGCCCTGAGCGAACATCCATGCCTGTCTTCTTCTATTTTATATGTGGGATGCCTGCTGCAGCATGGCTTGACGGGTGAAGCGTAGGTCCATGCCAGGAATCCACACTGGCAAACCCCAGGTCTTTGAAGTGGGGCGTGGCAACTTAACTGCTACGCCATTGGCTGGCCCCAATGTACTCATAGTAATATTTTAATAAATGATATTCTGGAAAGAACACAAGCTTTGAAGTCACTGCATACTGATGTCAAACTTGAGTTCTGCTACGAATTAGCTGTGGGACTTTGGGAAGCTACTAATGTCACCAGGTCTCTACTTCTTCATTGGAAGGTTGATATGAGTATCTAATAGAGACATGGATATACTTAGAGATGTATATGTAGATATATATCTAGATTTAGTGCTTAGCACAGTCTAGCAAACAAATGTAACTCAGTATACATTTATTTCCTTTGTTTTCTTCCTTGAAATAAAGAAATTAATGAAAAGTTTTCCTTATTGTTTTCTTGATTAATCCCTGATTAATCCCAAATGGCCATCACAAGAATCATTCTTTTAAAAGATACATTTTTATGGGTAGGAATAATTTGTATGTCACCATTTCCTCCTCCAACCTATAAACTTTTCATTATTATCAAGTCTCTTCCTTCGTTAGAGTCCATAAAGGAAAGACAAAATCTTGCATTAAGGCTATCAACTCTTTTCCTTCAAAGCATATAGCAAAGTGATTAGTAACAAAACTTATTGTTCTTCAAGTTAATTGAAAGATACTACATGAGGAAGCCTAATTTTATATCGGTAGAGACTTTAGGGAACGTTCCTAATATCCTTGGGCACTAATACAATTGATTGCCTTGAATCCTGTAAGACATTGTGTTTTACAAAGATGGCTACAACAGTATCTCTCATCCCCTATTGTGTTCTTACATTGTGACCTTGACTTCACATCCAGAGATGGGGTCTGTTTTCCCTCTGTTTGGCTCTGGGTGACTTGTTACTTGTTTGCAACAATAGATGTTGGCTGCAATGATGCTGTGCTACTTCTTAGACTAGGCAAGTGAAAGCTACATTGTTTCTGCCTTGTTTGTTGGGATGTTTCAGCTATTAAGGAAGAAGTCAGACTATCCGGGATTGCTAGGCTGGAGAGTCTACATACAGATGCCTTGGCCAACAAGCAGATCTGCGGTCCCAGCTGATAGCCAGCATCAGATGTCTACAACGTGAGTGGTTGCAGCTGAGGTTGATTGCAGCCCCGGCCAACATGTCACTATAGTCATATGACACCCCATGTGGGAACCACCCAGCTGAGCCCTTCCGTCTTCTTTTTAAAACAATTTTCAGATTTATTGAGGTATAATTGGTCCACAACTTTGTGAGAAAAAGAAAATGCTTGCTTTAAGCTGCTAAATTTGGGGGTTATTTTTTATACAAAAATAGTAGGTAGAACAAACCCTTAATCAGAATTTGAATAAAGCAAGGATGTTAAAAACACTTTGTCAAATATTCAGGCGATTTAATTAATATGGCCCAGAGTTTATAAAAGTCTTTTGAGAGATAAAGAAGAAATAGGTACGATAAGTGTAGATCTCAGCTGTTTGGAGGAAAGTGCTATGATGCCATGTATGATACTCAGAAT